GCAAGACGACCCTACGGACGAATACAAGGTAGACTAGAATTGTCATTTCTGGCTCATTAGCTGTCATCAGCCAGCTGTACCCAACCCCATGTAGTGTATCACCCGAGGCTAGAATCCGCGACCTATTAGTTAGAAGTCTAAGGTTCCAACCATTGAGATACAGGCCCGTTGTCTTGCCGGTTTCGATGGGGAATACGAAGTTGGGCGGGTAAAATCGATCCAAGTGGGACTCGACTCATAGTGCAAGGCGCGGCATTTGTAGCTCAAATGGTAGAGCGTTGGCTGCGTAAAGGCCTTCCCTACTATGCGATTTCAAATTCCGCCGAATGCCGCGAGCTTTTTCACAATTTGGTCAACTCAATATTAAAAATGATGGACGAGCGCTCACCGCTACGACACGGAAACCCCTCGTCCTGTTGGATCTTAGGCGAATATGTTCATTGTTTACAGACTGTCTCAGGAACAAAAATTCAATTATAATTGGTTTCCTTGTGAGTCTTTGCGGTTCAAATCTCTGTGGATGGATTGGGAGGGACGTCAGTGAGCACTACACTACCTGAACATTCCAATGATGGGCTGTAAGCTAAAGCATAAGCTAGCACCAAAAAGAGTAATGAGACCGGAATGGGCATTTTTGGCTTAGTAGCTTAATTTTAGTTCGCCACGCTCAATGAGCAGCGATCCCGAGGTCGAATCTCAAGTGGTCCACGTTGTCCAATGATAAATATTAAGCCCAAAGTGGCTATTCCGGTCTCCCTTGTCTTTTTCGGTACCAGCTCACTTTTCTAAGTAGATGCTATGCAAGTGCCTGCGAGGGCTCTAGATTAAGCTTGAGAGCATGTTCCATAACCAGATCTGTGAGCGCCACACTATTAAATTATTCTGTGCTTCAGAAGCCTATGAAGCATGTGTAGAGCCACGGGAAGGGGAAGCTTTCCTTGTCCCGGGTCTTGTCCTAATTTCTACGGGGTTTAGGTTCGGCGCTAGGTTTAGCTTTGAGTTAGGGTGCGAGTAGTTAATGTGAGAGTCATGGTTTAGTTTAGGTTTGGTATTACGACTATGACAAGGACGTATTTATCCGTCGTGACATTTTTCGCAAGGACACCCGCAGTTCTGGGGGCTTCCATTCCTGGTTCTTACCGGCGTGTATTTTGTTACTAACTTTCCGATCAATTTTCGACGAAGCCCCCCAAACAGCTTGTGGTTTAGGCGTTTGTTTTCCACGTGGATTGTTGATTGAAGAATGGTGTGAATTTAGTTCTAGCGCTGCACCAAAGCAAAAATAGAGCTGGGGAAAAAATCTGACCTTCCACTAGCTCTAAATCAAAGATCAATCGTCGGTCCCTTTGTCTGAGATCAAACGCAAACACGCTGAATCGAGGTTAGTCGAGAACTGCTTGTGAATCTCACAGTAGCGATGCATAGCGCAGATGGAAGGATTCTACCAGGGAACTAAATCGAACTGAAAGTTAAGATAACTTGTATTTGCATCTTCTCTCTGTCGGCAACTACCCTGATTTGACGCAGGTTACTTTTGTATGTAAATTCGTAACAAAAATTGGAACGCAGGAGTTTAACCAACATTATCGTGTTTTCCGTAATAAAGCGTAAATAAATAACAGTGAAGGCAAAAATTGCAATAAATAAAAAAGAAACCAACCTGTTCAGGGCAGAGGTCACTGTTTCCATCGTGTTCAGAATTGGTGTCTACAATCAATCAATTAAGAAAACTCAGTGGTCCACAGTTCCCCTAATTTTCTCGTACTTAAAAGAAATATGCACACAAATTAACAAACTAAATGTGCTAAACTAAAAATGTGCTAAGAAAACACGGGAATACTGCGTGACAGCAGCAAGATCTGCAAGCTTGGGACAGATATCATGGTATTTTCAAAAATCGATAATAATCGGGTTTCTTTTTGCTCGCTTTACCGCTGCCTCCATCGAAACAGAAAGCTATTTAAGTTTAGCGACCATATCCATGTAAACATTCAGGAAGCCAATTTAAGTGAACGAACATTTCCGATTATTTATAATCAGGCAAGTACGATAATATAACGTTCATCGACAAGTGTCAGTATAATATGTGTCCACACGCTTCCTACCGCGCTGCAACTTGGCGACGAGACGGAGACAGCAGACGTCTCCGCGCCACGAGACAGTGACAGCATGTATTCCCGCACCGCC